CAAATGCCCATCAATCAGCACGTGGATAAAGAAACTGTGCTATACATCTGTATATGATGGAATACTCCTCAAACATAAAGAGGAAGGATTAATGGCATTCGCAGTAACCTGGATGCGATTGGAGACTATTATTCTAAGGGAAGTAACTCAGGAGTGGGAAACCAAATGTCGTATATTCTCACTCCTGAGTGAGAGCTAAGCTATGAGGATGCAAAGGCACAGGAGTGACACAGTGGACTCCGGGGACTTGGGAGGAAAGGGTGGGAGCAGGGTGAGGGGTAAAAGGCTAAACCCTGGGCTCAGTGTATATTGCCTTCTGGCTCTTTCTCACGGCTTCTCATTCTGGCCAGGCCTTATCCCATTTCTGGGGTATTTTTCCCTCCTTTCTACTGAGACATCACAGCTACAGGTAAGGGACTTTTTTTCCGGCAGTACAGAAGTGATCGTGTGGGAACCCCGCGGTAGGCTGGGACTAGTGTGCACTGTTAGCCGACCTAACAGTCTCGTCTGTGTTCTGAAATGTGTTCCTCGGGAAGTGCTGGCCCTTGTCCCTTCCCTTGGCTGCCGGCATCTTCGCTTGGTGGAGTGGGAGAAACCCGTGGTCTCTTCCGAGCTGTCCTTCCTCATTCCCTGGGGGAGGAAAAGTCTGGGTAATGCGGGTGATGCTGGACTTCCGGCTTTTGTTCCTGGAAACATTTCAACAGATCTTGAGTCTTTACCCTTCTAGTCAGGAGTGAGAGAAGGGCAGGTGGAGACACCTGAGGACATTATTATTTTACATTTAAAAGTGTCTGATCCTGCAGGTGATTTTTCTTGTCTCCCTGCTTAGATTTATTTGTTCCTCTTATAAAGCAAAACTGAAGCTTTAAACAAAAAAACTAGCCTCGTTTTCCTAAAAGGTAGAGTGCCCCTATGTCCCTGTTGCCCAGGAGGGTACCAGGCTGAGCATTTTGTTCTAGTGTAATTAGTAGCACCCTTCTTATTTTTAAAAAACAACCCAGTTGGTTTTGGAAGACTGAGTCAGGGGAATCCCTTGAGCCCAGGAGTTTGAGACCAGCCTGGTCAACATGGTGAAACCCCATCTCTACTAAAAATACAAAAATTAGCCAGGCCTGGTGGTGTGCACCTATATTCCCAGCTACTCAGGAGGCTGAGGCAGGAGGATCGCTTGAGCCCAGAGGTCAATGCTGCAGTGAGCTATGATCACGCCACTACACTCCAGCCTGGGCAACAGAGTGAGACCCTGTCTCTAAAAAATAAAAAATAAAAATAAAACCCATCATCCTATGAATAATAACTTCCATGTTATTACTCATGCTATGAATAATAACTAATGGGAACTACTGTGAAGTACTGTTAGAGCATAGCTAACCTCGCCTGAAACAGCACCTTTAACATATTATATACAAAATAATACAAAGATTTAAGGTTATTACCCATAAGCCTAGTTACTTAACTGCTAAATATTGAAAGAAAATTTAAAAAAATCTTTCAGATGAACTTAGCAGAAATTGTTAAATAATAGCATCTCTGTATTTCTATTCCATATTAGCATTAGAAATGTTATTAGTAATTATTAAATGATATCGCATCAAAGTCCTGCGATTTGCTGGAGTTAAAAAAGTTATTCTTAATAGAGTCTGGGATTTAAATATATGGGGCCTTTTATTTTTTTTAACAATTATTGAAATTTGATAAAGCAGGAAGATATTTGAGTTTTGCTTCCTTTTTTGATATATGATTTTAATTGCTCCTGTACAACATTCCCTTAAATTACAGGAAGCCACATGTTGGAATAAGAATCCATCCTTTAAACTCCATCTATGTTATCGTATGGCTTTTCATTGGCTTGGGAAGCAGCTCTGTGGTGACCTGCAAATAGAATCGAGAAAAGAAAACTTTCAAGATTGATTAGTGTGAAGGAGGTTTGTGGATTTAACTCTCTCAGTCTCTGGTGCCATTTGTGTGAATGGGCTGCGGGGAAGTCATTTGAGTCATCTGAATATGTTTGTGCTCTATTTTATATGCATGTATAGTCATAAAAACTTTTTAATAAGACATCCTAAACACTTGGGAGATATTCTAGCAACACAAAGATGTATGTGGACTTTATTTGGTTGACACAAACAACAACTAACAAGAAAACACTAAATCCAGTAAGTGCTCACACCAGGCATTTACGGAGGCAATGGTGTTAGGCAGAAGAGCACAGTCGTGGACTGATGTGGGCTGGGCGGGTGGCTCACGCCTGTAATCCCAGCACTTTGGGAGGCTGAGGAGGGCAGATCACCTGAGGTCAGAGTTCGAGACCAGCCTGGCCAACATGGAGAAATCCCATCTCTACTAAAAATACAAAATCAGCCGGGCGTGGTGGCACATAGCTGTAATCCCAGGTTCTCAGGAGGCTGAGGCAGGAGACTCGCCTGAGGTGTGCTAAGATCACACCACTGCACTCCAGCCTGGGCAACATGAGTGAAACTCTGTCTCAAAACAACAGCAACACAAAACTGGACTGCTAGTTCCTCAAGCTCTGTGGGCAAACCGCTGACTGCCTCTGAGCTTTAGTTTTTCATCCCTTCTTAGGATCACAACCCCTGCCTTGCCTGCCTTATGCATAAGGCTCAATAGATTGTAAAGCCCTGTGTGAACGTAAGACATTATTTATTTGTCCTTAGATAGAATTCTTATCTACAAATGGATATGGGGGCCATGAAGTAGATACAATATTTGTTTCTTATGATCCTGAGTCCAGACGCCTCTCTGGTGGGAACGATAGCACTGAAGAGGACCTAAAATGAGCACACCGTGGCACACTTTATCGAGGGCCTGTTTTTTGGAAGGCACTGAGCACAAAATGATGATAAAGTGAAGTTGTCCCTGGCCACCCCATTTTCCACGGCAAGTGTCTAGTCTCAGCCTTCCTCTCCTGCGTTGTTTTCTTCCATTCATCACTATTTTACGTTCTACACGACTTACTAATTTACGTGTTCATTGTTGTCTCCTGCCATTAGGAGGCAAATTCCTTAGTGATGGAAGATTTTGTTTTTGTTGCTATCTTATTGTTTTATTTTGGAATTTTTGGATCCCAGTACCTAGAACCATTATTAGCACATAGCAAGTGCTCAATGAACATTTGTTAGATGAACCAGGCAGCCAGTGCTCTTCGCACACAGCCGGGGAAGCAGACAGACATTTTCGTAGGGCATTATGTTGTATTATTTTTATTATTATTATCATTATTATTTTGAGATGGAGTGTCATTCTGGCTGCCCCGGCTGGAGTGCAACGGCGCAATCTCAGCTCACTGCAACCTCCGCCTCTTGGGTTCAAGCGATTCTCCTGCCTCAGCCTCCCAAGTAGCTGGGATTATAGGCTCTCACCACCACACCCAGCTCATTTTTTGTATTTTTAGTAGAGACAGGGTTTCACTACGTTGGCCAGGCTAGTCTTGAAACTCCTGACCTCAGCTGATCCACCGCCTCGGCCTCCCAAAGTGCTGGGATTACAGGCGTAGGCCACAGTGCCTGTTGTATGATTAATACAGTGAGGTCAGCGTGGTAATAGAAAGGGCACCTGTAAGGGGCTCTAAATCTGCAGGGATATTCGAGGGCAAAGACAAGGAGAAGATGGAAAGTCTTTCAGAGATCTGACCTTGGTTTGAATCCTGCAAGCAGGTTACATGAGTTTCCAGGAGACCAAGGGGGCGCTAGCCAGCTTACAGCGACAGCGCAGCTTCTAAGGCCTGTAATGAGAAATGAGCTTGCGGAGGAATGGGCATACATCGGTGTGTGGTGCGCGTGGCAACAAGGGCCCTTGATGATTCACTGGGCAGCGGGAGAAAATGCGAGAACTTGGGTATTTATTGTGATCTTTTAGGTAGGAAGTGCAAAAGAAATGAAGTCTTAAAAACTGATAGCAGGACCAGCGCTGGGTGAATGTGTCTGGTGGTAGTGAGTTACAGAAAAATGTGTGGGAGTGTCATCAGGCCCAGGCCATTCTGTGTGGCTTTGTGTAGTCTTTTCCTTTATTTTTCTTTTTATAGAAACAAAGTCTCACTCTGTGGCCCAGATTAGAGCCTAGTGGTGTAGTCATAGTTCACTGCAGCCTCCATCTCCCAGGCTCAAGTAGGCCTCCTACTGCAGCCTCCCAAGTAGCTGAGACTACAGGTGCACCCCACCCTACCTGGCTAATTTTTAAAAATTTTTTGTAGAGGCGGGATCTTGTTATGTTGCCCAGGCTGTTCTCAAGCTTATGGGCTCAAGCGATCCTCCCATCTTGGCCTCCCAAAATTCTGGGATTATAGGCATGAGCCATCACCCAGCCCCATCTTTTCCATTTAGTATATTTCTTCCTACTGCAGTTTACCTCTGTTCATTAAGTGATTTACAGCTCATCTGATCTATATGATTTTGTAACAAGTTGGGGAGTAATCTTGAAGAGTTTTTCTACCTCACAAAAAAATCCACTGATTATCTGTGACAAAATACTTTCAGGAGGTGTTCAACGTAAAGAGCAGGTATGCATTTTACTTTCTAAGTGTCCAGAGTTACACTTTCGCTGACCTTTTTTGAATACAGCGATGTTAGTACTAGTCACTATAATCTGAGGAAGCCACCAATATTGTGATTCGGGGCTTAGTCAAATATGAGCTGCATGAAGAAGTTCACAAAGACGTTGTGGTGAGTCTTGGGTGGTTCAGTAGAGGACCTGCTCTGCCTATTGCAGCTCGGCAGAGGAACCAAGTGTTACCCACTGTGGTTTCCCCGGGGCAAGCCTGAGATGCAAAAATCTAAAGACTCACTTCGCTGGGAGGCCGAGGTGGGCGGATCACCTGAGGTCGGGAGTTCAAGACCAGCCTGACCAACATGGAGAAACCCCGTCTCTACTAAAAATACAAAATTATCCAGGTATGGTGGCGCATGCCTGTAATCCCGGCTACTCGGGAGGCTGAGGCAGGAGAATCGCTTGAACCCGGGAGGTGGAGGCTGCAGTGAGCTGAGACTGCACCATTACACTCCAGCCTGGGCAACAAGAGCCAAACTTTGCCTCAAAAAAAAAAAAAAAAGACTCACTTCATGAACTGTTAACATTGTCATTCATGTCAGTCAGGCAACTAAATCCTACTCTTTTCCTCAACCTTAGAGGATTGGTGACTCAGATCAACTATTGTTTTATTCTGAAGCTTCTCCGTTTTCATGTGAGAAAGCTCTTTGTCTGTCTGGGTTTCAGAGACACATTAGGTCTTTCTAGAGGAAACCTGTTCCCCGTGACAGCATGCCTGGGTGCCTCTGGCTTTGTAGCCGATGGTATTTTGGAGCTAGCTTTGCTCCCTTTAAGCCTTATGGGTATAACCTTAGGTTCTTTAGATGAACAGGTGTAGCTGCTGCACATGCTAATTTGCAAAGACAGTGTTTCAGTATGAGGGCTTTAAAAAGGAGACTGCAAAGCTGGAATGTGGAGCTGGACACGGAGGTCATGGTCAGCTAGTTTCCTTTAGTTAAATGAGCAACTTTATTCTGAGCTCTTCTGATTTTGCTGAAAATATTTTAGCCATTTTGAGGAGAACTTGAAAGCTTGATAAAAGAGCCTCACAGATATTTTCCCAAAGAAGATGGCAGTACGTATTACTAAATACACAGCAGATGCAGAATAAAAACAGATCCTGAGGTTTGTGTCAAGTAACATGATTTATTGAACGGAAGTCAGCGGGTTCATTGTCAGTGTCCAGCCTTATCAGAAAATATTATTAAATATTTCCCATGATTTCCAGCTGCATTCACATTGGGGCTTCACCGTGCTAGTTAACATGAAAAGTGAAACATATAAATCACATTATTATGCAGTTGGAGTTTTGCCTTAAACTATTAATATTGAAACAAATTGCTGTCGTCACATTCCATTTGTTAATTGAAAAGCTTATTTTGAAGTAAGCATTTTAACAAATTTATTAGGGATATGGTTACTTATATTTTGTCATATATCTTATTGTAATATTTAATATTTAAAGTTGTAGCATAGTCCAATTTCATTGGATTTTTCAATGTCACATTTTCTGTATCTTTGACAGGTGACACTGATTTTCTGTTCCTGCCCTCCCTCTCCTTCCCCAGTGCCTTGACTCGGGCCTTCAGGAGATAGGAGGCCGGAGAAACACAATATGGTGGTGGACTGTGTGTAGCAGTGTGTGTGGGCTGAATGGGGGCACAGCAGTGAGAGGAAGTGGTTGAGAATCACTCCCAGGTTCTTGCCTTGGGAGACTGGACAGTGGGACTCCCATCTGCCATGACTGGAAATGTATGCTAAGTCCCCAGAGGTTGGGAGAGTGGGCGTAAAGATGATACATTTTGTGTAACGAGCAGCTTGAGTTTGATTATCCATAGAGCATTCAGAAAAGATATTCAGTCTACAGGAGGAAGTAAGGATTTGGAGCTCCAGAGGAGAGATCTGGGTTGGTGAGAGGTATTTAGAAATCATTCACTGGCAGGAACTAAAATAAAGCAGTTGTTTTGAAAGGAACTCAGCTGATAAAATTCTGAATGCCAAGAAAGGTGATTCGGTGGAATCCAGAGAACACCAAGTACTGAATGGGCAGAGGTGCCACGGATAAGGAGGATGGGCAGAGGTGCCACGGATAAGGAGGATGGGTAGAGGTGCCATGGATAAGGAGGAGAGCCTGCAGAAAGTGGCAATGAAAATAACAGGGAGAGAAGAGTTTTAAGGGGAGAGAGCAGGAAACAGTGGCAAGCATGAGACCAAGTAAGGACCAATGTCCTGAGTGGATTTGGCAGTGGCGAGGTTGTTAGCTACACTAGCAAGAAGAACAATGTGTTTATGGGCACGCCTTGTTTCATTGCGCTTTGCTTTATTCCACTTCACAAATATTGCATTTTTTTACAAATTGAAGTTTTGTGGCAACAAACTGTGGTGAGCCAGTCTACTGGCGCCGTTTTTCCAACAGTGTGTGTTCCCATTACATCTCTGTGTCACAATGTGGTAATTCTCAATAGTTCAGGCTTGTTCATTTTTGTTATATGTGTTATGGTCATCTGTAATCATTGACCTTTGATGCTATTATTGTAATTGTTTTGGGGCTCCACAAAGTGCGCCCATATGAGATGGCAAACTTGATCCGTAAGTGTTGTGTGTGATCTGACTGTTCCAATGACTGGCCGTTCTCCTGTCTCTCTCCCTCTGCTCTGGCCCCCCTATCTCCTGAGACACAACAATATCTGAACTAGGTCAGTTCATAACTCTGCAATGGCCTCTACATGTTGAAGGAAAGGAACCATCACGTCTCTCACTTTAAATCAAAAACTAGACATAATTAGGCTTTGGGAGGGAGGCATGTCCAAAGCTGAGACAGACCAAAAGCTAGGTCTCTTTTGCCAAAGTCAGCCAAGTTATGAATGCCATGAATAGTTCTAGAAGGAAATTAGAAAGGCTACTCCAATGAACACACGAGTGATAAGAAAGCAAAGCAGACTTGTCGCTGTTATGGAGAAAGTTTGAGGGGTCTGAACAGAAGATCAAGCCAGCTACAACATTCCCTTGAGCCAAAACCTAATCCAGATCAAGGCCCTAACTAGCTTCAATTCTGTGAAGGCTGAGAGAAATGAGGAAGCTGCAGAAGAAAAGTTTGAAGCTAGCAGAAGTTGGTTCATGAGGTTTAAGAAAAGGAGCTGTCTCCATAACATATAAGTGCAAGGTGAAGCAGGAAGTGCTGATGGAGAAGCTGTAGTAAGTTATCTAGAAGATCTAGCTCAGATCATTGATGAAGGTGACTATACAAAACAATGGAATTTCAGTATAGACAGAACAATCTTATTCTGGAAATAAATGCCATCTAGGATTTTCACAGGTAGAGAGAAGATGTCAATATCTGCCTTCAGTGATACAATCGTCAAAGGACAGGCTAACTCTCTTACTAGAGGCTGATGCAGCTGGTGACGTTAAGTTGAAGCTGATGCTCATTTACTATACCAAAACACTTAGGACCCTTAAGAATAATGCTGAATCTACTCTGCTTATGCTCTATGAGTGGAACAACAAAGCCTGGATGACATCACATCTGGCTACAACATGTTTTACTAAATATTTTAAGCCTACTGTTGAGACCTACTGCTCAGAAAAAAAGATTTCTTTCAAAGTATTACTGCTTACTGACAATATACTTCAGTGACAGTGGTCACAAAAGAGCTCTGATGGAGATTTACAGGGAAATTAATGCTATTTTCATGCCTGATACAACATTCACTTTGCAGTAGCCCATGGATTAAGGAGTAATTTTTCCTTTCAAGTTTTATTACTTAAGAAATATGTTTCATAAGGCTGTAGCTGCCATAGATCATGATTCCAAAATAGGAAATTTTCTGGAAAGGATTCACCATTCTGGATACCATTAAGAACATTTGTAATCCATGGGAGGAGGTCAGAATATCAGCATTAACAGGAGTTTGAAAGAAGTTGATTCCAACCCACGGGAAAGATTGTGTTCCGATGTTTAGATCTTTAATTAATGTTCTGTATACTAGAGATACAAGTTCAAAAATTCAAACTTCAAGTTTTCCTTTACTAGAGTTGCAAATTGAAAAATCAGAATTTCCTTGAGGTTTTAGATTCAATTTATTCTATTTGTAAATTTTGTATTTTTAAGTAAAAAAATAAAAAAACATACCTCTTGAGGCCTTTGAAAAACATTTGATCAACTCAAATGGAAGACTAAATCCCCTTTACTTAACAATTAGTCCTACTGAGAAAGACCTTTAGATATATTCCCTTAAACATTTACATTGAATCTATAAATTTGGTTTATTTAATTTTTAAAATTTGTTACTATTTTTTATTGAGGCAAAATACACATAGCATAAAATTTGCCATCATAACCATTTTTAAGTGTATAGTTCAGTTAAGTTAAATACATACATAACATCATGCATCAATCACCACCATCTATCTCCATTATTCTTTTCCTTTTGTAAAATGGAAACTTTCTACCCAGTAAACAGTAACTCTTATTTTCACTTTTCTTCCAGCCCCTGGTAATCGCCATTTTTCTTTCTGTTATTATGATTTTGACTATTCTAAGTACTTTATATAAGTGGAATTATGCAGTATTTTTCTTTCTGTGACTGACTTCTTTCACTTAGCATTCTGTTCCCAAAGTTTATCCCTTCCTCCGTCTCCTGGATGTAAGCGATTCTCCTGCCTCAGCCTCCAGAGTAGCTGGAATTACAGGCATGTGGCACCACGCCCAGCTAATTTTTGTATTTTTTAATAGAGACAGGGTTTCTTCATGCTGGTCAGGCTGGTCTCGAACTCCCGACCTCAGGTGATCTGCCCGCCTCAGCCTCCCAAAGTGCTGGGATTACAGGCATGAGCCACTGTGCCTGGCCAATTTCCTTTCTTTAGAAGGCTTAATAGATTCTATTATATGTATATATTGCATTTTGCCTGTCTGTTCATCTCTGGATGGGTACTTGGTTGTGCCCATGTTTTAACTATTGCGAATAATGTTGCTATGAACATGGGGGTGGTCCAAATATCTCTGGGTCCCTGCTTTCACCTTTATCAGATACAGTTAGAAGTGGAATTGCTGGATCATATGGGAATTCTATATTTAAGTTTTTGAAGAATTGCCAGACTGTTTCCACAGTGGCTGTACCATTTTGCACAGTACACAAGGGTTCCAGTTTCTCCACATAATTGCCAACATTTGTTATTTTGTTTTTGTTTTTTTTTGATAGTAGCCATCCTAATGGGTGTGAGTTGGTATCTCATTGTAGTTTTGATTTGCATTTCTCTAATGGTTCCTGATACTGAGTATCTTCATGTGCTTATTGGCCATTTGGATATGTTCTTCGCAGAATTCTCTGTTCAAGTCATTTGCCCATTTTTGAATCTAGTTGTTTGTTTGTTTTTGTTGTTGTTGAGATTTCGGAGTTCTCTATGTATTCTGGATATCAACCCCTTATCAGATACATGATTTGTAAATATATCCTCCCATTCTGTAGGTTGTCTGTTGTCTTTTTCTCTGTTGACAGTGTCTTTTGAGGCATACATCTTAAACATTTCAGTAAGTCAAATTTTTCTGTTTTTTCTTTTGTGGTGTGTGTCTTTGATGTCATACACTTGTTATACTTGATTTTTAAAAAGTAGTTAATATATCTGACTAGGAAGGCTTCAAGCCAAATTTTTCCCAGCACTTTATTGGGCTTTCAGTAGTCATCAAATATCTGCCAACCATTGCTAGCCACTGGGGACATATCTCTGAACAAAACAGAGCAAAGGGCAACAATGAATAAGACAGAAGATGTCCCTTACCCCCATGGAGTTTACATGCTTGTGACTCTAAATTCATTCAAATGTAGCAAAGCTAATAAAGTTTTAAATGAAGAGAATTTCAAGTCAAAATTTTTACACCTTTCAATTTAAGATTGCAAGTCTAAAATCTATCATACATTTGAATTAGAGTCACAACCATATCTGTCTAATTAGTGTCTCTAACCTGTCTGCTATGAAAATACCAAATATACACATTTTAAAAGCCTGATCAAAAAATACTAATGCTATAAAATCGATTTGCTTTATGGTTTATTTAAGTCCAACTTTTCTAATATTGAATGCTGGATTACAAAGCTGAGCTTGCTTGATGAACAACTTATGCCCCAGATACATGATTGTCTGAGATCTGAAGCTGGGCCCGGGGACATGGGGGTTGTATATGACCAGAGTGACTCTTTCTATAACGCAGATGGACAGACTGAGCCTGATATTAACAGTGGCCATAATAATAGGGAACTCCATGCTCTTCAGATGGACCTGGTTTCACAATACACTGTTTGCTAGATTTAACCCTTCCCTTCATAGCACTGTTCAGCATTGTCCCAGTTTGAATGGATAAATTACTTCACACCTATACCTACTTTGCTATGTGATCCGATACAGCCAACTCAGCCTAGGTACTACCTGATTCTTCCACATCAGGCCAGTTGGCCATGAGCACCGGCTCATGTCACCCTCCTGCAAGGTCTGCATTTAGAGGTGGCTGAGTGGAGCTGTCGCTCTCCTCAGATGTCCATCAACTCACCCCCTTTTTTCATAAGAACAATGAATATTTTCTCAGTTTAGCCAAGTGTGATTCAAACTTATTTCCAGAAAATTCTTAGCCCACCTCTCTCTTCAAACAGATTCCCTCTTCTGTATAGGAATTCTAAAAATATCATTGCTTCTTTGATCCAAACCCTTCAGCAGTTCACACTGTGCTTGGAATCGAATAGAAAACGTTTACCGTGGCCTGCAAGTCCCAGCATGATCTGGTTCTGCACTCCTTCCATGACCTCATCACAAACCTCTCTCTTCTTGTGCTCCAATTTCAGCCACAGTGGCCTTTTTTCCACTTCTTCCAGCAGAAGTCAAGATTCCTTCTACCCCACGGCCTTTGCGTAGACTGCTCCCCTTTTCTGAAACACCATCTCCTCCACTCTCTGCTTGGGTGACTCCTCATGCTGCACGTCTCAGCTCAACTGTCATTTCTTTGAGAGATTATTGTTCTTCCTAGAACTTAGCACAACTTCTGCATGTATTTGCCTACTGTTTCTCTTCCCTGCTAGATTGTTTGCTGCACAGGGTCATGTCTGGTGCTCTGTTTGCTCAGCACCCATCCCAGGGCTCGCATATTCTAGACAGCCAATCATTGTTTGCAGAATGAATGACTGTCACAGTTGCCACAGCAGTCACCATTAGCCTTAAGTCATAGCTATTATAATCATTCATATAACCACTTTTGGCTCTTGGGAGGTACTGAGTAATTGTTGAATTGAGATATCTAAATGTCACTTCTCCTACAACAAATTAATACAGTTTGTTGTTACCTCTATGGTCCTTTACACCAGCGGTCCCCAAGCTTTTCCACACTGGGGACGGGTTTCGTGGAAGACAGTTGTTCCCTGGACTGGGGTGGGGGTAGGGTTGGAGGGCAGATGGTTTCAGGATAATTCGAGTGCATTCTATTTACTGTGCACTTTATTTCTTTTATTATTACGTCGTAATGTATAATGCAATAAGCATACAACTCACCGTCATGTAGAATTGGTGGGAGTCCTGAGCTTGTTTTCCTGCAACTAGACCGTCCCATATTGGGGTGATGGGAGACAGTGCAGATCATCAGGCATTAGATTCTCATAACGAGCGCACGACCTAGATTCCTCTAAGCGTGGTTCACAGCAGGGTTCGCGCTGCTCTGAGAACCTAACGCGGCCACTAATCTGACTGGAGGCTGAGCTCAGGCGGTAATACCAGCAAGCAATGGGAAGCAGCTGTAAATACAGATGAAGCCTCACTGCCCGCCTCCTGCTATGCTGCCTGGTTCCTAACAGGCCATGGACTAGAAGCTGCATGGGGTCCATAAATATCTGTGGGGTATGTGGCCTGGGAATTGGGGATACCTGCTTTATACAGTTAGCTTTCTATAACTTCTAAAGCTGTAATCGTTCTGTTCTTAGCAGTTCTCTTGCAGGAAAGAAGACATTGAACTAAATGTGCCTTTTGGGGGACTATCTTTCCTAATGAAAAAAACAACCACAGAACATTAATGAATTGGTTGACAGTTAGTAATACATTTTGATTACGTAAATATCAATTCCATAGCCTACTTAGTGATTATTTATTTATTTACCCTGGGTATCCCAAGAGGTAGTACAGTGGCCCCAGGTTATAGAGGGTGGTCTTGAGAATTGAAGGAAGCTCTAATTCTAGATTTTATAATGCCTGTGACAACGCCATCCTGCTCTGCCTGCTTCTCCATGATCCCTGCTACCCCGCTCCAAGAATTCAAGCCGTGGAATAGCACCAGATTGTGTTAGAACTTCCTGAATCCTAACCAGTTAGAACCCACTGGCTCGTTTTTGCGATATCAGCCTGTTAAAAGCATATCCTCATAAAGATGTGATAGCCCTGTCTCTGCATCTAGGCACCTGTGAATATGAAACAACAGTATAAATACGATTTTGAAGGTTGCATTGTCACAGATGAAAAATTGCACAAACATGTCAAAATGCAGTGCCGAAGAAGGAAATCAGACTTATTTTCGTCGCTATTTACTGTACCAAAGCATTTTTGGAAACCCAAATCGGGGAGATAACCGTTTTTGAATGAACGGCAGTGGCAGAGCGCGGTCGGGGTTAGCAGCAACGTGGCTGGGCGCCTTTAACTCGCCGTCACCTCCGGGGCCCGGGCCGCGTCCCGGGCCCAGCGCCCCGGCCTGTGCGGCGCATTGGCCCCTCCTCCCCTCGCGCGCCGCGCGCATTGTTGTCCTTTAGCGATTGGTGGTTGGACCAGAAACAGCTGTGCAGAGTCGTGCCGTGTAAAGGGCTGTGGACCTGAATGCAGTGTAGCCGGCTGGCGGTGACTTACACCCGGGCTCCAGAGGGAGAGAGAAAGAGCTGCAGGCCGCTGGCATTGCGTCTTCCAGGCTGCGTGGACCCGGCGCCCCGGCGTTGGCGTTTGGGGAGCTCGCCGTGGCGCCCCCTCCCGCTGGCTCTAGCTTCCTCTGGGCTTGGCGCAGGTGGGCCAGGCTGGGCACCGCGGATCTCCCTGTTCCCACGAAGGCTGGCTCGCCGTCTCTCTGCGAGGGGGAGGGACCATCCTAAAAATATGTAAATATCCAAGCGCCGGCTCCAGGCTGGGGCAGCAGCCAAGGTCCCTGCGCCGCCGCCGGTGCTTTACATGAAAATGAGAAGCCTGTTGGGAACCGCGCTCTAACTTAAGGCAGCCTGGTGATTAGCATGAGACTGGGCGGCTGTCCTGCTTCCTGCCCTTCAATAGCCGTTCCGCGCGCTCGCGCCCGAGCCGCGCTGCCACCGCGCGGGGGTCGATCGCAGGCTCGGCGTCCTTGGCAGCCATGGCTCCGTCGCCGCCTCGGCCAGTAAGTAGGAGCACGCTTGTGTAGGGGGCACATGCGTGTCGGCGCACCCACCCAGCCACCCACCCGCGCGCACGCACAGCGCCCGGAGCCTCGGCAGGAGGAAGATTGACGAGGCGCTGCAGTCGCGGGGACGGCGCGGGCTCTTCCTGGATTCCGCAGGAGCCCGCCCGCCGCAGCTGCTGTCTGCAGAGCCTGCACGGAGCCGGTGCACACGCGCCCCCGGCTCGAGCCTCTGTGATGAAGACTGCCTCCCGGGGGCTGCGGGGGAGGCAGAGCCAGCCAGCGCCGGGGACTGCGGGCCGCGCGGCCGGTAGGCCCGCGGGGACACGACTCGGACACTGTCATCCCCACGCCGCGCGCTGAGCCGCCCGCCCCTCCGGCCTCCCGCACGCCCGGTCCGGGGTCAGCCCCGGAGGCCTCGGCTGCCTCATTTGTTTGGGTCTTTTGTGCCGTGGCTCCCAGTTGGCTAAGCACTCCTGCGCTGAATCGGGCCATTGTCTGCGCTCCCATTGCCTTCACGCTGCCAGTCTCGGCGCCCCCACCCCGCCCGCCCCCTCCCCGCCTCCTCCCGGCCGGGGAGCCTCCTAACGTGCCTTTCCCCCCAGGAATCTGGAAGCTATAAGCCGGGCGCATTGCAAATGAAGTGTAATGCATTGTGGGACGTGTGTAAAATCGGAGCCTTCGCCGTGGGGGTGTGGGGGGGCGTGGGGAGGGCCGGACCCGCCGCTGGCGGTGTAGACGCCGACGAGGAGGGGCTGCGAAAATGTGCGCAGAGTCCGCCCGGGTCGTGCCCGCCGTAGACTGATGAAGGAGCGCGCTGCGCCCCGGCGCTGAGGCCCCGAGGATCGGGGCGGCAGGTCACCCTCCCCACCATGAAGAAGACCCGGAGCACAACCTTGCGGCGAGCCTGGCCTAGCTCGGATTTCTCGGACCGGGCCTCGGACCGCATGAGGTCCCGCAGCGAGAAGGACTACCGCCTGCACAAGCGCTTCCCCGCGGCCTTCGCGCCCCAGGCTTCGCGGGGCTACATGACATCAGGTTGGTTGGTGACCGCGTTTCTGCCCCCGGGCCGGGGCCACGGGGCGGGCTCGGTACGCCGCGGCCCGGGTGCTTGGAAGAGAGGTCGGGCAGTGATGGATGCGATAAGTTATGGGGAAAGCAGGAAAAAATTAGCTCCCATCCACCATTTTGTACCTCCGCAAGATCCACAGCAGGCCCTCTCAATATGGGGTTGGAGAGCTGTTAGGTAAAACGAGGGAGCGGGGACGAGCCGGGCGTTTTGGCTGCAGGGAGATAAATGACTGGGAGCCCTGGCGCTGCAGCCTCCTTGAGCTTTGTGGAGGATCCCGCGCCCAGGGCTGCCTGCGGTGCCAGGCTTGCGGGCTGCTGCATTGTGGCTGGTTATCTGAGTGGGTATTTCCAGCAGTCCCCTGCTTTCCAAAAGGGACAGGTTCCATGCGCGGTTCTGGATGGGCTGAGTCGGGAGCGTCCTGCAGACCTCGCAGGCTCCTCTGATTTGCACGCAGAGAAGGGGTTGGAGCTCGCCGAATGCGTTCTGTGGGGGTAATGGTGCGGATGCTGATCGAATGCTCACATGATTCTGTGTGGATTTAACATATGTTGCTTTGAATTAGGCTGTATGGGAAGAATGGAGGCTGTATCATGTATTTGCATGTCAGACGGGAAGGACAAACAAAATGGTAAATGGAAAGGGGAGGCTTGAAAACAGATTTCCGCTTAAAATGCAGTGCTGTGAAAAGCCTCCCTGAAGGAGCCAGTTCTTTTTTTGGAAATTCAACGGGATGGCTTTGGTTTGATTTGGGAACCCAGGGATGAAATTCTTGAGGGAAATGCTGAAGGAGGAAAAGCCTGGAAACCTTCGGTTGCCTTCCCCTTACTTCTTAACTACTTGTATGTAATGATGTGTAAGGCATTGGGTTTTCTTTAGTTTTCATTCAGAGGAAAAATTTGATTTTCTTCTAAGCACCCTGTAATGGAAGAACCGAGATTTTATTTTAAGCCACATGCTGTAGCAAATCACCCTGAGCTCTGTCTTAACTGGGAAGATCCTTTTAAGCTTGTGGTTGGTACTTAGAGTCTCGCTTTACTGTCTTTCTCCTAAAACAGCAAGGCCTTTTTCACTGGGGTCAGCATCTCATGCTTCAAAAATGCCTTGCGACCACATTTCCACGAACATAAAGCCTAAATAAAAGAACCATCTTTTTTATTGCAAAATCAGGCGACGTAAGGATGTTGTACTATTTTGGCAATAAGGCTCCCTTGATTTTCCCTTTCATGAAAAGCCAAATTTGTAAAGGCACTGACAGCTACAGTTTACCCCTCAGTCATTTAAGTCACTGCTGTGGTTGCTATATTCTTCAGACTTGTGGCAGTAAATTTTGAAGCGCACCTAAATCCAAACCTAACCTCAAAACAATATGTACATAAACCCATGTGAGATAATCCTGGGTTTCATGTACTTAGGGTTTGAATGTCTTCATTCCACACTTCACAGTTCCCCTTTCTTATACCTCCTAAGGAACCAGTCCTGATACCAAGGGTGAAACCATACTAGGGCTGGTGGCCATCATTTCTTCCACAAACCTGCAAGACTCTCTGTTTCATAATTTCAGGCTCATTTCTGGGGAGCTGGTTTTTTTTTTTTTTTTAATCTATCTTGGCATTACCTCATTATCACATTTTCATTCTTTGCAAAAGAACTCGTCTGCTGTTGCAGGTACTGCAAGGCATTTTTGAGGGCTTGAGGAAGAAGCTCTTAATTGTATCTGATTCCATTATTTCATTTCTTGAGCTGCAAATGGTAACATGGTCCCATGGTGATTATGGAGGTTAACCTGTTTCAGGTTGGCTGTTTTCTGTTCAGATTCAATGTTAGGATGCTGCTGAGAAACCTGAAGACCGAAAGATGGAAGAAAAGTGCTGTCATTCATTCAGCATTTTGTGGAGTGCCCCCAAAGAGCAAAGTGCCTTGTTGGATTCTCATGGGGTTTCAGGACTGGATATAACATGGTTTTTGCCCAGGGAGGGAGGTTTATCGTTTTTTCTCGATTTTGAATGTTAGCTAATACATGGAATAAGAAGCAGGTGTCGCTGCTATGGAAGGAAATAGTAAACACGAAGACAAACGCCTACCATGAACATTGGGAGAACAGGTGGAGTCTTTCTCAGGTGGAACTTTTTTGGGCATTGGATTGGGAAGGATGTTTATCTTCATCTATTTCCTTTACAAATATGGCTCCTTTCAACATATGAGTATTGATAGAAATAGATGGTATATTGAAACACTTGGAAATGATTTGTGAGATGTTCTCATCCTTTTAGGAAATGTAAAGGAAATCCACTTTTATCAAGTTAGTGACTCTGGATGCAGAGCCTTTGTCACATAAAATAGAGTAGAAAATGAAACCACTTAGAAACACATGAGGCCTTTCATATTTCTTCTGTTTGTCCAGCCATTTGGTTTAATTACTACTGGTTTTCTCATACTTGATTTTTAATAAGAAGGGTTTTTGTTGTGGGTAAATTACTTGGGTTCAAAGGACAAGATAAGCCTTTCAGACATGTACTAAATGACTTTAAATAACTTGTTAAGAGACTATCTTTAGACCCCCTCCTCCAACAAATGTTTCTGAAAATTATAGGCAACAATCACTTAGTTTTAAACTTAAGGACATGAGAGAGCCTTGGGAATTTCAAGAAATAAATGTTAATCATTTTCATTTTGATCTAGCATCCCATATCACACAGTAGGTGCTTCAAGCAGAATTGTAGACGTCAGTAATAGCTTTCTAATGAGACAGCACCATTTCAAACAGTCTTTTCTCCACTAATAAGTAATTACCAGTGTCAAATGTGATTTATAGTAATAGGCTTGACATTTAGCCTTGGCCTTTCCTATACCTTCAGGATAAACTGCACTTAAGCTCAAGAGGTTAGAGCAGGCACCTATAAACTAGTGAGGTCTTGGGAAGGACAGTTAGAGAATTCTGAAACTTTAAGTCTTGAAGACTATGCCTTCTATGACTGTTTAAGCTCCCAACTCATGCTACCAAATCTAAAGAAATCCTAAGAATTCATGAGCTTCCTAGCAACCGGTAAGTTCACAGGCCATGAGATGAGTTCATTGTTCATCTTGAATATTAATTTCCCAACCGTGGTTTCTGGGCAGAAAGGGGAAGATCTTACCTTTTGTTCAAATCAAGATGAATAATAAAAAGTACATGGCATCATCTTAAGAAGAAAAGGGATTGGACCAAATGGATGTGGGGTGATTCTTGTGCATTTTCTAAAACTAGAAGTTACACTATTAATGAACTAGAAACAAAAGTAAAATTCCCCGCAAAGGAGTAAATCTGTGTAACGAACAATTAGTACTTTATATATGAAAACATGCTAATTTGTCTCTGTGAAATGATTTTCAAGGCCCCAGACCTTTTGTTGATAGGACTTTCTCTGTTTGAATTATGTGAACTGTGATCTTTTCACACGAATGATGCTATTGACTTTTAATTTTCTTTACTCTGCCATCCCCCAGCCCTGGGGCTGGGTGCCTCTTTATATTCCACATATAATGCCAGTAGAGTTTTGGGGACATTCTTGTTGATCAAGTACGGAAAGTAATTTTTTCACCATACGGCTTCTACAGAACGTGATCCTTAAAAGCTTTGTTTATGAATGAGAAAGCAAAGTCCTGGCCCATTTTAGTTTGATACTTGTCATTTTCATAACATCTTTGAGGAGTAAAGCCTGCGTTTTAAATACTGTGGTTTTAAAGGCGTTGAAAAGAAAGATGAAACAAAAGCCCTATACTGACATTGCAAGAAAATTGGAAGCAGTTTTTTCTGCTGGGGAAGCACGGCCAGCACGTCACCTTGATTCGTTTATTAGTTTTCATTTTATAGAAACTAATTCTGGGGCACGTTTGACTGTGTGTTCCAGTTCCTCATGTTCTGTTATTTTAAGAGACATGAGGGTTTTCTGGGAGTGGAGGATGGACACTGGAGGTTCTAATCTGGGCCTGCCACGAACCAGCTGTGTCCCTGGTGAGTAATATGACCTCCCTCCATCTGTAATGAGTGCTCCACTTCCATGCTGCCATTACAGAATTGGGGTCCATAGTTGCTCTGTAATCAGCAAGTGCAAGACTCCTGAACCCTTACACATATGTGGTTAAGACAAAACCTCTGCCCTCTTCCATTTTCTGGAGTCAGGTGCCTCCCGTGTGTGGGAATAGTGCTCATTTTACAATACAGTCCTATTCCCTATCAGCCTGAAATGTTACATTAAATGTATGCATTTTAGGACTCGCCCTAGTGACCAGAGTAATGGAGGGGGGGAAATAAATTAAGATCTGGCCAGTTATAATCATACGCAAGTTTTAATAAACAGCATCCTGTCACATCCCTTTCCTGCTTTGCAGAGATCCATTTTCAGCCCAGCCGCTCCAACTGTGTTTTAATTTGAAACTACCTATGTTGACTCCTTTCATCAGGCAAGTGGAAGTGAGGAATATTACACTTGGTGGTGAATGACTTTATTCTTTATTTCCCTGGAGAACATGAGCGGGCTTACAAAAGGTCACCTCTCTTGGTATTTCAATATTTTTTACATTCTTTCCAATGTTTTTATTTGGGAAAAAAAAGGAATATGAGTATATTGTATAAAAACCTTAGCACTTCTGCACCTCCAGAGCAATTCTGGCCTTAAATACCCTACGCCCAGAGGCTTAGGACGATTCAGACAATGGTATATTCTTTGGTACAGGATTGCTTATGCCGAGTGCAGGTTGTAACTAAAAGCAAAATCTGCTTGGACCCTTGCCAGTGGGCAACATGCTAACTTTTGAATTTAGGACATGCTTTTGTAAATCAGTCGTAGAGAGTGTGTGCTGCCTCACCCACAAGGTATAAAGCGGAGGTTCTAGCTTGTGAGAGTATAGATAGTCTACTCCAAACTGACCGCAGCTGTAGAGGCACAAGGAAGAAAGGACATGGGTAGTTTTTAAAATAGGGAGTAAA